GAAAAGTGCAAGAGACATGAGGCTGGGCTGGCACTAGGGTGAGGCCAGTGAGGCAGTGTTTTTTAAAAAGATCAGTAGCACATCTGTGCCTATATGAGAGCTTGAAGCAAAAGGAAGCATCAGTAATAAACAATAATCATAATCATATAGTTATATAACATATAATTATATAAATATAATACTAAATAATAAAGAGCCTGTCTTAGAGGGAGGGTATAGCTCAACTGGTAGAGCACGTGCTTAGCATGCACAAGGTCCTGGGTTCAATCCCCAGAACCTCCTTTTAAAAAAAAAAAAGCCTCTCTTTAGTAAACTTTTGGATAGTTTGTTCGTAATGGACTTTCTGCATTGATTTTTTCACTTTCTGACATACTGCATTACATCTTTATCTTGGTTACTAAGGCTTTGGTTCCCCGTTCAATTTTGCACCTGCAGGAGTGCCTCCTTACTCACCTCCGCCTGGGCTCTGGGCCGCCTGGGGCCTGGGGGTGCGCACAGATTGCGAAGAGGCACAGTAGGCCTGGGGCTGTCCGGGCAGGGACCGCCAGGGGCTTGGCTGTGTCAAGTTGGGGTGCAGGTCGCAGGTGGGCATGTGCCCTTAGACCCACAGGTCCCCTGCCCATTGAAGGAGGGCCAAAGGGAAACCCCCTGCAGAATAGTTCTCAGCCTCTGAATCTCCTGCAGAGCCTGTGAGGACACGGATGGCTCCGATTCTGATTCGGTAGGTCCTAGGTGGTGCCCAGGAGCCTCCATTTCTGGCAATTCTGGGTGCTGCCCCTCTGCTGAACAGAGGAGCAGGCTCAGAGGAACCCTGCTCCAAAGCACCAGGTCCGGGAAAGGTATTTGCAACTGTGATCACAAATAAGAACTAAATGTCCTAATATATAAAGAGCTCCCACAAACCAATAGGAAAAAGATCAACAACCCAAAAGAAAATATGGGCCCCTCTGGCCTACCGGGTTTCTGTGCCTGGGAGTGTGGAGGGGCTTGGCGTTCTTTCCAGACTTACCTTTCAGTTTTTCATCTGGCAGCATATCTAGAATGTACTCTTCAAGGGAAAGGGTGCATACTTTTCAACTCTCCTGATCAGCCATGGCTCTGTCACTGTTATTAATGGAGATTTCTCCAAGATGCCGGACTTTTGCTTTTTTCCCCCTGTAAATTTCTTGTCTGAGAGCTACAGTAAAGAGTATTCTTAAGTACCCCTAGATTTTGTTTTTAAGTTAGTTTTAAGGTAACACATTGCTTTAAAAATAAATTTAAAAATTTAAATATATTTTTACATATAAAGAAGAAAATTAAAGTGTTTCATAAATCCTCCACTCAAATGATTTCCGTTGATGGTAATAGTACTCAAAAGAACAAAGTAGAACTACCTTCCCACCCTCCCCTCCCTACTCCAGTCTCTCCAATATTGATGTTTTTGTGATTTCTTCCAGAAAAAAATTTTTATTCATGTCTCTCTATCCTTCTGATCTTTTAATGTAAGAGTATCATGTGATAAACCCTTAGACACCTTGTCTCTTAACTGAGTAATGTGTTTTAGGCATATTTTCAGTAGCACGTAACAGGTTTACCTTAATTTTCTTAATGGTTTATAGGATTCATCATTGGGGTGTCCCAGTGTTTAGCTAGCCCTCCAAAGAACTCTTTGGTTCTAGGTTTTTGCCATTGCAGTGACCCTGTAGTGATTATCTTTGTCCAGATATCTTTGAGAAACATTTCTGAGTCCAGCCATAAGCGTGATACCCAGCAGGGAGTTTGCTGGACAAAGGGTGTGTGCACTTTAAGTTTTGAAGGCAGACACCACATGGCCCTCCAGAAAGGTTCACCCCGTCATCCATGGTGAGCATGCCTATTTCCCCAACATCCTTGCCCGTGATGGATATCATAGAAGTAAAAGGAGGAAAAAAATCTATGCCAATAGCAATAAAATATAAAATAACTTAGAGTAAACTTCGTAAGTGTGCAATATCTTTGTGAGGAAAATTTTAACATGCACCTGAGAGACCCCCAAAAAGTCTTGAATAGGTGAGAGTTATGCCATGTGGGAGTGGGAACATGTAGCATGATGAGAATATTCATTCTTCTTCAGTTAGGCTAGACTTTGGACATGACCCAAGAAAAATATCAGCAGGATTTTTTTTTTGAGGGTAAATTTGATGAGCTGATTTTACAGACCATTTTGAAAAACAAATAAATAAGAACAGACAGGAAGCTTCAGAAAATAAACAGGAACATAGGAAGAGTCCGAAAATAGCCTGATCAGATACTAAAACAGTATGAAAGCAAAATTGTTAGAATAGATTAATGGATCACAGACATAGACTTAAATATATTCAGGAATATAATATATGATAAAAGTGACATCTCAAATCAATGAGGAAGAATGGATAAATCGGGGAGGGGGTGAGAAATGTTGAATTCATATTGCACAAATTCCAAACGGATAAAAGATTTACATGCAGAGAATGAAATCCATGCTACAGGAAATCACAGAATTGTTTTATAATCCAGATCTCTCTGCTATGACATAAAACTCAGAAGCCATTGAAGGCAAGATTAATAAATTCAACTTAATAGAAAAAAATTCTTCACAGCAAAACTCATGTTATGCAGAGTCAAAAGATGAACAATAAGTTGTGAAAGATATTTGCAACTGTTAATACAGATGAGAACTAAATTGCCTAATATATAAAGAGTTCCTACAAACCAATAGGAAAAGACCAATGACCCAGTAAAAAACTAGGCAAAGATTATGAACAGTTAACAGAAAAGACCACATAAAAAGCATTTAAACTTGAAATGTTTAATAAGAAAAACTGTGAAGTACATAATAAGAGAAATGTAAATTACTACATCACAGGGATTTTTTTTTTTTCACTGTGAGATTAGCCAGGGTCTGGGGAGAGAAATACCTTTATTCACCACTGATGGGAGGTAAACCTATCCAACACTGGGGGGGAAATTTGGCAGTATCTAAAAAAATTACAGTGCATTTATGTTGAGCAATTCCACACCTAGGAATTACCTTTTTTAGGTATACTATTCACGAACGCATATAAAATCACATAGGAGCTGTGATTTTCATTGCAATGTTCCTTATAAAAGGGCACGTTGGAATCGCCTTTGGTCCATTGCACAGTGGGATGCTTGTGCATCTGAGAGAAGGGTGAGGAGGAGCTCTGTGTCCTGCTGCTGAATGATCTATAAGGAAAGGATACTGTTAATTGATAAAAATGGATAAAAAGCTGGGTCTGTCCGTTACATCGTCCTAACATTTATGTAAAAAAGAGAGGGAGATACATGTAAGCTTATTTGCTTGTGTATTATGATGATTATTATGATTATTAACATGGATACAAAAAGATGGATAATGTCGACTGCCTCTGGGGAAAAGCCTGAGAGGTGAGGAATCTGGATGGAATACTTTACACTGTGTGTACACATGCATCTTTTGATGTTTGAATCTTGTTGACCCCTCCTAAGAAACTTTTTTAAGTCCAAATTTTAAAATAACTCAATAGGTGAAGAACATTTATTTGTTTTGATACGCATTGTCCTAATGCTGAGTTAATTTGAGTGTCCTTTCAAATATTGATCAGCCTTTCACCCTTTTTAGGCAATTGCTTGTTCATGAACTTTGCCCATTTTTCTTGTCTTTTTTTTTTTTTTGAGTTGTTTTTGTTTGCTTTGGTTTGGGTTTGGGTTTTTTGTTTGTTTGTTTTTGGTTTTGTTTTGTTGCCAATTAGGAAATCGTCTTAATTGTCACAGAAGTTTTGTCCCAGTTTGTCTTTGGACTTTGTTGCTGCTGCTTTTTGCCACCTGGCAGTTTTACATTTGTGTCCAGTTGTCATCGTCTTCTGATCCTCCTCCTCCTCCTGTGTCTTTTCTTTCCTTTTTGTTTTTTGAGGGTAGACATGACTGTCCCAATGTGATCTGAGAAAGTTGGCTCTAGAGTTAAGCTGCCCAGTCATCAGTACCCATGCGGGAGTTGGAAAATAACAAGCCACTTACATGTTTCCTTGAAGACAGTCGTTAGGACTGGACCAGACTCATTTTAGTGGGAGGCGACCCAGAGATCTTCTGGGCTGGGGCGAGGGGAGAGGGACGCGCCTGGAGGGCAGCCGGTCTGGGCGGGTCTCTGACAGCCTCCCCTCTCTCCACCCTCAGCGGAGCTCCCGCGGTCCTCGGCCGTGAGGCTGGCCTCCCTCCGGGACCTGCCCACCCAGCTGCTGGAGCTGTACCAGCAGGGCTTCTTGCTGGTGGCCCTGCACCCCTTCGTGCAGCCGACCCACAAGCAGGAGAAGACACCCCTCGAGCACATCTTCAGGGCCATCCTGATCAAGAAGACCGACAGGTAAGGCCTCCGAGGGCGGGCGGTTAGGGTAGAATCCCGAGGTGTGTCGAGTGGAGGAAGGGAGGGGAGAGGTTGGGCGGATGTGTTTGGAGTTTGCACCTGTTCCCAGGGCCTCTGCCCTCTGACAGGTAAGGCCAGACGTTGGACAACCAAAGGGTTTCATGCGTCCTGCTATTGTCCAGGTGGACAGTGTAAGTAGAGAGTCCATTTTACACCCTTTCCTCCTTTAATTCACTGGACTACACTCAGCTGGAAAAATGTCTCCGTTGAGGAGGTGTACTCCCAGAATGAAGCAGCTAGTACAAGTATAATACTATTCATCTGAAAAGCATGGCCGGAAAATACATTCATTTTGGTTAAAGCCTTTATACAAACTGACCATCCTCCCTCATCCTCTAGAAAGTACTTGAACATTTTGAACCCACCATAACGTTCTGTAAGTCACTTGGGAGGAAAAACAAAATTCTCTTGAATCAAGTGCTGTAATTGATTTGGTCTTGATTTTGATTCTCATTTCAGTAAGGCTTGCCCGTTTAAATGCTTACTTATATTTTTATTGGGTCTGATGAAGGAAAGAGAGGTGGAGATTGGTTTTGCAAAAGGAGCACTATTAATTTTCAGTGCTTTTTAAAAAGCAGTGAAGGTGGGATAGAAGGCACATTATGATTCTGCTGCTTTCATAAAAATAAAAACAGAGTCTGGCAGAGGAAATCAGATCTGCCTTTTGCCCAGTTATGATGGGAGGAATGAAAGCGTGTCCTGGGTTTTAAACAGAGGGAGTTGGGCAATTGCTCCTCCTCCTCTCTGGCTTTGCCGGCTGGACAGACGTCTGGCTGGTGAGCCCGGGAGGGACAGCTGTGGGGTGAGAAGCTGTGACCAAGATGGACTCTTCCCTCCTGGCACACAGAGTCCTTCATTTCTTCACGGCTGATCAAGACCTGTTAGAATTTGAGGGGAAAGGGGGTGTCTGCCTTTGCTGACCCCTAGAATTGCCATAGTTTTTGTAGAGCAAAACTTTTCTCAACGTCTGCCTTTTCTGCGTCTTGGTTCCTTTCTGTCCAGTGGCTGTGGATCAATATCTGGTCAATTATAAGAGGAAATGGTCCTGGGAGCCCTGGTGGTTTTAGGTCCTGCTGACACAGAGGATGTGCATGAGGACGAGAGGTCACGTTTATTGAGCACTTAGTCTGTGCCAGGCTTTGTCAGTGTCACGGCATCCTCATAATCAGCCTGTGAAACAGGTCCTGTTTCTATTTCCATTTTAAAAATGGGGAAGCTGAGCCCAGGTGTGGACTTAGTGATCAAGGTAACACACATGGCTGCAAGCATCCTTCCAGGCAGGCTGACTCCCGTACCTGCATCTTAGCCCTGATGGGAAGCACCTGCTGGGTTCCTGCCCCCAGGATTCCTGTGGACAATCCCTTTACGCAAAAAAGTGGGGGAAGGTGTGTTTGATTTTTAGATGAGATAATAATGTCAGTACTCCACCATTTCCCCACTCAGAAGTCTTCGAATCAATCAGAATTTCAGAAAAGAAAACTTACTGTGTGCCTTCCAGGTTCCATAAGGCATTCACTGACTGTGCTTCAGTGTCTCTGTTCCTTGAGTCATTCTATTGGCCTTGATGTTTAGAGGGGACAAGTCCACTTCCGTCAGGTCCCAAGAGCGTCCCTCAGTATAATTCCACTACAGGTGATGTTAGCACAGAACTTCCCATGACGTCTCCTAAATGTACTTGATTCTAAATGTAAAGATGTCTTTTTTTTCCCCCTGCTAGGGAACAGCACTTCTCAAACTTTGTTGTGCCTCCTGTGAGTCTCCCAGGGGTGTTGTTCAAATGCAGAGTCTGACTCAGCAGGTCTGGGCTGGGGCCTGGGACCCTGCATTTCTAACACACTCTCAGGTGATGCTGAAGTGGCAGAGGGTGTAGGGACCTGACTGCTTCTTGTCTGGCTCCGAGCCCGGCACGCACCGGCACCACTTGACCCCCAGGGAGGGACTGGAGGACCAGGAGAGGTGGGAAGGCGCATAGGGTGCCTGGCTGGAGGGCCTGTGCTCTGTGCTGCACTCGGCTTCTAGCAAGGAGTCGAGTGCATGGGGCACATCAGTAGGTTTTTCTGGGCCTTCGTTTTCTAGCTGGTACCATGAGGGATCTGTACTAAATGACTTGCAAGACCTGAACCAGCTCTAAACTTCAATCTGATTGGATGAGGTGGGCTTCTCTCTGGGAGTGAGCAGTGAAGACCCCGCTTTGGGGAACAGTTTATTCCAAGCCAGCAATGGAGCTAGGATGCTCGGTAAGGGTTCTTCCCTCCCACGAGGACAGGCCCTGAGCGAATGAGCTTACTTTCCAGGAGAGAAAAGGGGTCACGCTATGAAGAAAAAGGAGGCACAGGTATCCAGAAAGGTTTCCAAGAAAGAGAAGATGGCCTTCTCCTTGGGTTTGAGTTCACTCTCATCCAGAGGGTCCGGACCACCACGACTTTAATGACGATCCCGGCTCTTTAATAAGCAGAGACAGAGAAAGAGTTGCTGGGGTAACTTGGCGGCAGGCCTTTGAAAGTGCCCCTCATTGCGAAAGCTTGGGAATTTGCCAGGTAGGGGGATGAGAATGGAAACTTGCCATTCTCACGGCAAAAAATGACCAAAAGAACGTCTCCTCCTTCCATCACCCCTTAGTATTGGGTGGGAGCAGTTGTGGGGAGGGGCGGGGCGGGGAAGCAGAGTTAATTTTAGAGTGCAGGCATTTTCTCTCCCAGCAAATGCAGTTAACTGTCTGTTTTCACATCCTGAGGAAGAGACCCCCATGCTCTGAAAAATAAACAAATGAAACCCAGCAGAACCCTTTCTGTATCAGGCAGGAGTTAAAGTAGTAAAAAAGGAAACAAAGGAAACCCTGGGTGATTAATTTTTAATACGGGCAGTTAATGATGCTTTTCACAAAGTCTGCCAAAGTTCTGACAGCTATGGATGCTGGTAAATGAAGCGATCCGCTCTCAAAGGAGACGTAAGTGCCTGGTTAGTATTTGCTGAGTAGACCTCATTGGAAGAGCCCCACAGAAACTTACAGATTATGATAGATTATAGATTTGTGAGGCAAACGAGGTGAATAAGTAAAAAGAGCGTCTGTCCCTCCTTCCTCAGCCGGCTCTTTGGAAGACTGAGCGATTTTTAACAGACTGTATAGTTTCATTCATGCTGATGTCTAAGTACAGTTTAAGTTGTCCTTCATTTTTTTTTCGGGCAGTTTTCCTTAGAACACGTTGCCAAAGATCTTAAAGCTTGATGGCTAAGAGAGGTCAGTTATTAAAATGTCACTCTGGTGTTTCAGGAGCGTGGCTTTAATTCTAGGTCGTTTTATGGTTGTAGACATCAGTACAGGAATGCGTGTGCCGCGCCATTTTTCAGCTGTTGGACTGCCGTTGTCCACACGCAGAGCGAGTTCAGGGTGTCACTGATGTGTTTTTTCATCACTAATGGGTTGAAGCCATTTGGGTCCAGGTCTCCTGGAAGAATGCCTTATATGGTACAGGGAACTGAGACATCTGTGCCCTCTGGTGACATTCATCAGGTGCCTTTTGGCTTAGGGTCAGGGAGTGGGGCACCCAGGGGCGCTGCAGCTAATGCTGGGGGTGGGATTCTGAAACCCTCGTGGAAGGTGAAAAACGCATATAATCAAAGCTGCCCTCGACAATCTCTTTAATTGCCCATGAAATGTAATCCTTTAGCATCTCTCTACCCGACAAGGCAGGTTTTCCTTCAGGACTAGATCGGATTGGTGTTTCCAACAGTGAGCCCCGTGGGGAATAAGTTGATTCGGGTTTGTCGTGAGTGTTCATTAGAATCACACCTAGGGGGTGAGATGCTCGCGCCTAGAGAGGCTTTTGTGGGAACTGAGACCGAGGGAACAGAATCCCCACCCCCGTCTCACAGCCATTCCGGAGCACATCTGCCTGTGGAGGAGAATAACTGGGGCCGTTTCAGAATAACTGGTAAACGTTTCCTCGCTTTCAGCGAGATTTTTCTAAGATAGATGTGCAAAGATAACTCCAAAGAGCTCCCAGATCTCAAGAAACTTCTCTGCTAGGGGGATGTCAAGTATATATGCAAAGCTAAACCTGTGGGTCTCGGTTTTTACTTCTCACCAGGAATTCGTGAATGGCGGGGCTTTAGAAAAGCATGCTCTGGGTCGGGGATGATGGGTGGATTTGAACGGGGGCACTAGTGGTGGGAAGGGCTTCGCAGGCAGGGGGATTGGAGCCTGAAAGAGGAGACCATGAGGATGTGGGGTGGCTGAAGGATGAGGTCCAGAGGGAAATGGGAAAAAAAGCAAGAGAAGCTTAGGGGCTGGGTCTGATGGCCCCTGATGGCTGGGAGTTTGAACTTCATCCTGGAGTCGGTGGGGAACCACTGCAATATTTTTGTTTTGTTTTAGAGCAACAGCCATTAGAAGTGCTGAGTTTTCAGAAGTCTCAGAGGGGAAGCCTCAGAAGGGAAGGAAGCAGAATCTGAGGAAACATGGCATCCGTCATGAGGGGAGATGACAGGTAGCTAAAGTCGCTTGTAGCAAGAAGGGGAGGGTATGGGTCCCCTAGGAGGAAATATTGGATTTAATGTTTTTGTGGAAGGGGACTGCCTGGAGGAAGGGAAGAATCGACGTCTGAACGAGTTTTGGACTCTGAGTGTCTGGAAAGAGTTACTGGAAGAGGCGGGGGGTGGGGTGGGGAGGGGCAGGGGGTGTGTCTGGGTGGGGTTTTCCCACGAGCAGACCCCCGAGAGGAGGCTTCACGTGCAAGTGATTAAGGAAGTGCTCCCAGAGGAATCAGTTAGGAGTGGGAACGTGGGGCAGGGAAGGAGGGAGGCCAACAGGGTGCCGAGCCTTTGGGGAGCAGTGAGTCTACCTTGAGGCGGGGGAACTGGTTCCCATACTCCTGCATCTGGGGGTGGTTAGCCATGAGCTGCACTGGACACCTCCAGGTCTGGGAAGCATCCAGGCAGAG